TATAATATAATAATATATAATAATACCTAATAATACTAATAATACTTAAAAACTCCCTAGAAGATCCTCTAAAATACACACAGAACCCAAAGAACAAAACAGCTTACAAGACTTCACAAGTCCCTTTTCCTCAACTCTCTACAAAGGGCAGAATAATCTAAATTTAGCCCTAGCAAGGTCTTTAAATCGAAGCATTATTCTGCACTAAATTAGAATTCCCAGCCTAGAAACCGCAGACAACTTCCTTGCTGTCTGAAATTACAGACTACAGTTCAGCCATTGCCAGATGTAAGGTTTTAAGCTTTCTTTATCGGTCTCGTCTCCCTAGCTGGTGAAGAAAACAGACTCAGCTTGCCACAATTTTATCTCCAACATAAACCAGTATCTTGCATTCCCACACTCTGTTAGGCATCTTCATTACATCACATCTGTATCGCTGACTTCTAAATTATGTGCTGGAAGGAGGCTGAGAAACTGAAGAAGTTCCTCTTGGACACATTTTTTGACGTGTTCTATTGAAAAGACTATTCTATTCTATTCTACTCTGTTGAAGAGACAATATCAAAGAGAATGTGACTCCCAGTGCTCAACAAGAATTTACCTGGAGGTCAAAATAAGCTTTGTGCTGTTTGTAATTTCATACAAACTAATGCAAATAATAACCATTTAAAGATAGGTTGTTAGATCACAGAATCACAGAATTGCAGAAGGTTTTTGGATTGGAAGGGGCCTTTAGAGGATGTCTGGTCCAACCCCCTGCAGTGAGCAGGGACATGTCAGCTGGATCAGGTTGCTCAGAGGCCCATCCACCCCAACCTTGGATGTCTCCAGGGATGGAGCCTCCAGCACCCCTCTGAGCAACCTGTGCCGGTGTTTCACCACTCTCATTGTGAAGAACTTAGATGATGCTTTAAAGGTTGAGTTTTTCTGCTCAATTCTCATTGAAGGGTCTGACATTTTTAATTGTGAAAAAAAAATTGTAATTTCTGGTTCATGTTTGTATAGGAATCTGTTTGAACTTTTCTGAAACATACAAGTGTGATGTCAATAAATGCCATTGTTAAGTCTGCTGTAGATATGCAAACCTGAGGTTTTTGAGAGATAACCAAATGTTTGTCCTTTAGGGAAAAGACTTGTGAATGGTGCTACATTCTTTCTGGAGATGTGCAGAAAGGCGTAATAGCGTTTTCTCTACATTTCCTTGTCAGTTCATTCCAGATGCCGTAATCACTCACTTTTCCTTTTGGGTGCTTGTTTGTTGCAGGGTCCTCCAGGTCCACCAGGTCTCCAGGGTCCTGTTGGTGCCCCTGGTATAGCTGTAAGTAGCTTCTGCAGAGCAAACCCAAATCTTGCTGGAAGTCATTTGACTCTCAGAAGTTCTTTGAACTGCACGCTCCTTACTCGGGAATATATTTCAAAATCACTATTGACTGTTCTATCATTGTCCCCTTACATGAAGTTTTTTACTGTAAACGAGCCTGCAGAGGTGTTAGTTATTGCAGATTTACACTAGGGCAGCAGTTAGAAGGAAATGTTAAAAGTGAAATAGTGTAAATAGTAAATGGGGCGCATCTTTTCAGTGAACTTGTTAGATGGTGTGTATGAAACTTAGTGATAAAATCAGATCAGTAACAGGTGCATTTAAAAGAGAGTATCTCTTTTTTCAAATCTATCTGGTAACAGGTGTATTTATTTTTATTTTTATTTTTTAATTTTTTAAATTTTTATTTAGATGGCTTTGAATTCCTCTACCGTGAAGACTGGTAGAACTACATGCTAATCATATTTACCAGTGTGTAGGTAATCGACAGCTAGACAGCTAGAATGTTTATGCGGATGTGAAAGAGAAGGGGTATCCAGGGAAAATCTTTGTGAGACATGCAGTATCATTTGTCCTGTATTAAGCCAGGGCAGATGCTGGTGTTCTGTTGGTGTAACAGGCTTCAGCCAATCAAGGTGGTGTACATGCATTTTGTAAAGACATCGGGAATGATCTCAGCCCTCTTGTAATTGTTTTCTGGTCGGGGCTATTTCTGTTATTATCAGACCTGTGACTTTTTGCTTTTTGCTGTTTCTAACTAGGGAGGTGATGGGGAGCCAGGCCCGAGAGGTCAGCAAGGGATGTTTGGGCAAAAAGGTGATGAAGGTCCTCGAGGCTTCCCCGGCCCTCCAGGTCCTATTGGCTTACAGGTAAATCCCTTTATTATTTTACCCTCCACCTGTAAGAACCCTGATTGCTCTGTCAGAAACTGAATGAGTATTGTCTTCTATTAAATAAATGAGAGCATCAGTTAACAGGAACTGAAAGATCCCATATTTGTAGAGGTCATGCAGGAATAGCAGATGTAATGCTGCAGAGGATGGGCAGGGTGCTCCGAAACTGAACTCCTGGCTAGTGCAGCCTTTAGAGTTTCATTCAGCAATTCTTTCATTTATAGAGCCTGTTTTCACAAGAGCACTTTTTTTTTCTTTTTCCTGGAGATACATGTTTTAAGGAAAAGATTCAACCTGGAAGTTTATTTAACATGTTCTAGTCATTTACTGATTTTCACAATAGAGTTTGGCATGTTTCTCAGCAGAACTCCGTCATCGCTGGCAGATTCCTACAGTTTCGTGTTTCCTCCTCTTGAAATTGTTGGTTTATGAGTCGAAAAATGCAAAGCAAGCATACACTAAAATGTAGGCTTCTCGCTGCTGCATCCAAAGTTGAAAATACTGGATTTTTTTCCCGTAATTGTAACAAAACAAAGAACAAGACGTTTATGACTTTGCAATTCATTTCCGTGTAGTTAACATCAGACCACTTTGAAACTATGTCTAATCCATTCATTAAGCTGTAATACAAATCAGATACACTGTCTTTTAAAACATGGAAAATCACAGGAATAATGTTTGGGTATATTAAACATGCATGAACTGACTCGTCTCTTTCACTGTGCAGAACCTTAACCTGCACCTATAATTTTTTAAATTCTATTACGTAATGCAGTTCACAAGACTTAGAATGAAGTTTATAAAATATCGCAAACCTCCATGGAAGCTAAATGGTTCATTACTGCACCAGCACATCTGTTTTGTGTAGATTCGTATTGCCTTTGAAATTGAAAATGTCTTTCTTTTCAGAAATAATAACTCAGGAAAAAAAAATTGTTCCTAAATTTTATCATTAATTGCTTTTTACTATTTTAAAGAGAGTGAAATAAAATTACCTGTGCTATTTTTCTCAGATCTAAAATGCAGTTTCAGTTGATGTTTTTCAATAAAGTCCACGTTCACGTTTTAAGATTAATGAGCTACTTAAATATAAAAATCAATTACACAAATGAAATATTTCAAACGAGGTATCTCCTTTCTCTGGTTAAGGTTTTCATTTGAATATGTGGGTTCAGAGCTGAAACTTCTGATCCTACATTTAGGAATGCCCAGTGGTGACAATGCTTCTGGCTGTGGTTGGGATTGGTGTTAGCGCCAGCCCTAGTTTCCTTCTCTCAGTGTTTGTTCTAGTTAAACTTGGACACTTTGCTTCTAAGGCTGTTTGTGTAACCCAATGCAATGCCTCTCAGCAGGATTTCTTACCTCCACTGGACACCTTTTTAAAGCAGTTATACAGCTTCCAGCACTCAGGTAGCTTAGACATCTTTGCGTACCACTTCATTGTGCTGCACTTCCCATGTTTTCTTAACATATATACCAATCATAGCGTACATAAAAATAATCCACCCACCTGGGGGGCTGGATAATGATGGCAGTGCTTTTAAAGTCAGCCACCCTAGCATGCCTGTGTCCATTTTTTCCCAAAAATTTTCTGCCTCACTTGGTTTAAGTACCCTAGGACTGCCCATGCATTTTCTGTAATATAAAAACCCCTCCTTTTCTTTCTTTTTTTTTTTATTTAATGCAAATAGGTTTTATTTTCTTGTTCCCCCCTGCCAAGTTCCCCAGTTTCACATGTAGATCTGATTTATATTGGTTCATGTTGATTTAGAACTCAACATTCCAGGTACTCTACTAATAGTTTTCTTTTCTCTTCCATGTGTTTTAGGGTCTGCCTGGCCCACCAGGCGAAAAGGGTGAAAACGGTGATGTGGGCCCAATGGTAAGACTTCTTCCCTGTCGGTCACTCGGGGGGACAGGAGTAGCATCCGCCTGTTAGCATCTTTTCGCACAGTTTGATAAGCTGCCCCTGAATTTGGTGTAACATAAATTCTCTCCAGGAATTAACTTGCTTTCCTGCATCTACCTCCTCATCTTTAATATCAAGGTTTATGTGGCTTAAGGAGATTAGGTAGCAAAGCAAATGCTTTGTGTGTCTGAGACAGGACAGTGGCAAGCGGGTTCAGGAAAAAATGAGAAAAAAAAGGGAGACCACTGCTTGTTTTTTGCCTTTTTTTTTTTTAAAAACTGCTTTTCTGAAATTCAAGGCATTGTACCTTAGCTTTAGGTAATGGCAGGCCAGAAGATGCTAAACATTATTTGGCTATGTTTACTCTTTTTCTTGAGACTACATTTTACAGCTTCTTATACTGCTTACAGAACACCTCCTGGGCTGGTTCTGACTGAGGTGCAAGCTCCCTACAGTAGACATTTCCCTCCCACACCTTGTGCCAAGCCTGGATGGTTTATTCTTGGCCATTCTAGGGGGCCGGTTAGCTCAGTCAGTTGAGCGTGGCGCTAGCAACGCCAAGGTCATCGGTTCGATTCGCATTTGGTCCCCATGTGTTGCCATGTGTTACGGCTCTTACCAGACATACAAGCTACTCCAGGGGCTTTGCGCAGCAGAATAGGTGTGCAGGTGACTTGCAGGGAAAATACAGAGCAGGGAAAATACAGAGCAGGGAACCAGTCCATCAGGTCATTTCCAGCTCAGGTACTGGACAACACAGCCTGGAACCCTGGGCACCTTGGGAACTCCTGCAGTAGGACCTGCTGTTTCCGTAGCGCTGCCTAGATGAAAAGTTCTCCACAGATTATTATGTTTTCTTGGCTAAAAAATCCCCCGTGGACTTATTCTTTATGACCATAATTATATCAAATTGTCTCTTTCATACAGGGTCCACCTGGCCCTCCAGGTCCAAGAGGTCCCCAAGGTCCTAATGGAGCTGATGTAAGAATCAACCTGTTGTAGTTTTTTTTCCCCTCAGTAATTCAGTAATAAGCACTATATTTGGGATAATTAACATATTTTATTGTCCTAGGGTCCTCAAGGCCCACCAGGCTCCATCGGCTCTGTTGGAGGTGTTGGGGAAAAGGTAAGTGTGGACAGTAACCTCCCAGAAAAAGAAAACGTTTCAACAGTAGCATGAATATACATTTAGATTCTTCTTCAAAGCTATAGGGATATATTACAGTTCCAAATATGCTTCCTTTGAGGATGATTTGTGCTATCTGAAAACCTGACTTCAGTCTGATGCTTTGTGGCATTGATTCATCAGGATTATTTTCATTGCTATTTTCAGTTCTCTATTTAGAAAATTTCCTACCTCTCAATGGGGTGTGGCTGCTTTAAAATTTCCTACCTCACCCAGAGGATGTCTACTATATTTTCCTTTTTCTTAAAGATATTGTATGCAGTAGACCTAATAGCTTTTTAGCTGTTAGCTATTAGCTAATTTAGTGCTATTAGCTATTTAGTGTGATTTATTTGAATCAACAAGTGTAGACTAAAATGCTTAGCAAGCACAACATTCAAAAAAGTCTCTTGAAAGTCCTGTTTATGTTTATTTTACCAAGTTAGATAACCTCAGCCATATCATACGTGTAAGCCTAAAAGTGTTTTGCTGTAATGTTGCACATTTAATATGTTGGTTTAGTTTTTTCTTTAAATTTGGTTTGAAAAGATTTTGAAAGGAGTACAAGGTGAAGGAAACAGAATAGAAATACATTCCGGGCCACTACATAACTAACATTGAGAAACGACGCAGATTGCTCTTGAGTATTTAAATATTTGCCCCAGAATATCATATGTATTCAGTGAAACACTGATGTGAAAACACCTCCCTAGGAATGTCAGTGCTGGTGGCTTTTCGGAAAGCTCACCGTACCAATAACTTATCAGAATTTGAAGACAGTTTTCCCTTTTTCTTCCTGGCTCGTCGGGTACAAAGGCACAGCTACCTTTTCCTCCGTCTTCCTTGTGCCCTGTTACTGAACTGCACCACTTGAGAAGTCTTCTGCTCCCTTTTGTTTGTCCACAAGCTCTCTTTGATGCAGGGTACCGATATTGGACCTTTAGGCGCAAATCAGTCAGATCCATGAATTTACAGATAACGACTCAAGTCCTGTGTCAATCAAAATCACTTACATTTGTGATCTTCTTGACCCCTGTCCAAAAGCACGTCGCTCTGCTTCACAGAGCTTTTAGATATTCTTTCCTTCCACGAGATAAGGAAGTTGCTATTATTTTCTCAAGATATTTCTATCACTAAAACAAAAAAGGATGGAAAATCAGCAGATCATCCTACAGTACCTCACAAGCTTCTTGTTCCCTTGTGATAACAAAATATCTTTCTTAAAGTGCTCTTCAATATTGTTGACATCTGCCATAAAATTTTGCTAATGTTTGGGGGGGGGGGGTGTGTGTGTTTCACTAAAACGTCTTTTCATTAAATAACCCTTCACTTTGAAAGGAATCGCCAACTTCTTATCAGTAAACTATTATTTTAATAAAATCTTCGGATGTTCCATGTCCTTTTCCATCAAATAAATCACTGATATTCTGGGATGTGGTGAGGCTAGTACTACAACAATGTAGGAGAATGTATGGTTTGGTGGAAGAATATCCTACTTTGTCTCCTTTCTTTGTCTTTTGAGATCAAAGGGTACTAAGCCCAAGCAAATGAAAATATTAACTTTATAGTGTAATTTTCTTGTGTCATGTCTCAAGCTGACAGTGTTTCATTGCGTTCCCGTTTTCTCAGGACGTGGCTCTGAGCACAAACTCATCTCTTGGCAGCAGGGGCATTCTTGTGTCTTCCATCTTTTTTAACCAAAATTGCATAAAACCTGCAAAACATGATGCTCTCCTGCTTGACTCTATTATTAACAAGGATATCCCCTCTAATCTCCCTAGTTTGTGACATTATTCTTCCAGCCTGTCTTAAAAGAGAGCTCAACCTATGAAGAGCTGCAGGATTTGGTTTTCTCTTTGGCAAGAGTACCAGAAAAGTGTCTGAATGTAAGAGTTGGTAGAGATGGGGAAAAAAGTTTGTGTCTGGGTCAATGGAACCTAGAAAAAAAATGAGCAGTGTGGGAAGAAAAATTCTTCCTGTGACCAGCAGGGTACTGAGAAAAATGGTTATTATGAGAATACTACATCCAGGGTAGCACCCGTTATGCTTTAAAAAAATCCCACAAGCCAGCACCTTTTATAATACTGTGGCCCACTGAAGTCAGTAGGAATTTTGCCATTGGTTTCAATCACCTCTTTAAATTTTACTGTTTCTTGATCAAATTATATTCCAGTCATTTTGTAAAAAGATTGACTTATACTGAACTCCTTACTCCTTTATTCTTTCCTGTGACTCTTCTATGTGATTTAGATTCCCTATTTGTGATAATCAGCCCACCAAATTTAATTCAAGAACATGAAACTCAGACTGTTTATCGCTGGTTGTCGTTTTTATTTCCTCTTGCTTATTTCCCATATTCTCTACATTCACACAAAGAAGCTCCCAAGTATATTATTTCGGATGATTTTTTTATTCTAATTACCTTCCTCCTCCTCGTGTTTTAGTACATGCCAGTTTGGGGTTTTATTCCTAATCATAATACTTTCCTTCTTAATTTCAGTTCCACTGAATGAGTTCTGCAAGCTCAGAAAGAGCTGGTTTTGCAGGAGGAGTTTCCACAGTGGGAGGACAGTTCATGCTTTTAAACAAAACATGCGTTTTCTCTTATCCTTTTCTTCCCATGTATTTTTTCCCCAATGTTTTTCTTATTACATCAGGATGTTTCAGCCTCTGCATCCCTTTCAGGAAAAACAAATTGTACTTCAGATAATGCAACGCAGTGCTGATCGTGGAAAAACCTTTTGGCATCCTCCTCATCACTGCTGGGGAGCGAAACAGCTTTGCTTACTTTGGTATTTGAATGGTTAGACTGGGAGAGGTTTGTTATTAATACCGGGGTTTCGAAGCCCACTTATCTTCTGGCAAATTATAAACAACTTTTGTCACACCCACTGCCATGTGTTTTTAACCAGCTTGTTGATTCCTCTGCTCTACACACAAAGCCTAAATGTTCAAAGACAGTAGGAATGTTGTATGGGAAGGCTTGCATTATTCATGCCTGCAGCCTCCGTGGAGCTGTCTAGAAGTCTTCAGACTTAACGCTCAACTAGAACGACTTAAATCCATCCTCCACCTACAGATTATCTTTTAGAAAAAGTCGAAAATAGAAACGTGCCAACACATGGTTGTCTCCAGGTATTCTGAAGCCTCAGTAAGTGACTCACGAATTCTCGAAACAGCACAGAGAGGAAATAGAACAAGCAACACTAACATCACACTTCTCTTCCACAAAGAATAATAAAATTAATTTGCCTTTCTAGTATACGTTAACCTGCGCTGCATACTGCGGCGTTCTTCCCCCCTTTTTCCCTTCCACACTACGAGTCAAAGCGGCCACGAACAATGCCAAAGGAGTGCCTGCAGAACCAAAGGGTTCTTGCTGTAGCCTCTCAGAGTTTAGATCTCTTTTACTGTACGAAAAAAAGCTGATGTTAGGAAACCACTGCACTCATCCGGGTTTGTACTCCCTCCTGTTACCTAATTCTAAAATAGGTGTGGGGTTTTTTAAGTACACTAATAAAGAGTCTAACATGGTCAACAAGTGAAATCAATATTTGATGTGCTTTGTCAGTTCTTGACTTATACTGCAGATGCAGTTTTTCTCTTTTTTTTCTGTTTCGTGAGGATGGCGAAAAGGAGCAAAAGCGTAACTGAATGCTTTTCACACCGCTGTTAGCTGCAGAGTTGTCTCTTGTTCTCAGAAGATAAATCACCACATCCCAGAATTTAACCAAAAGGTGGCAGCCTTCCATCCGCTATGTCTCTGTGCCTTGTATGGACAGTTCCCTGAAACTGGTCATAAAAAGAAATCCAAGGACTTTAAACTATGTCGTTAGCCTGATAGCAATCATTCTACTTGCTTAATCCAATGAAGTTTTCAGAAGGAAACTCGTTGTCTGTCTTGTCTTGCTGAAATTCTGTCCGAGGTTTTGCCTAAGAAAGACCACGCTAACTTTTAAAAGACCTGACCTGATAACAGAAGGGGAAACAATTACCATAAAAATCTTGTTTCCCGAAAGAACATGAGGTGTTTTCCATGGAAAAGGTGCACTGGAATTGACACTGTCCTGACCAAAAATGCAAAGACAAGGGCAAACAATAACCTACAGATCGCACAGGTTTTAGTAGCTCTAAATGCGCACTCTCTAACTAACTTACCTTCTCTATCAAAACATTGCCCAACTCCCTTAACAGCTGTCTAGAACAAGTACAACCTTTCACAGTACAGAATAGTTGGAAAATAAAAGTCAGTGCCAGAAAAAAAACAAGAACTGCCTACAGGGAAGAGTCATTTTTTTTCTTGTTTCTTCTTTTTAAAAATAGAGCAATGATTTAGAAGTATTCATGTGTGATGAAACTGTAACTGGTCTCATCTTTCACAGATGCCCTTTAAGGGGAACATTTTCTCGCCCCTCCAATTTCCCCGTCGTTCACACTGCTGCTTACTGGGGAGTTACTGGGCACAGAGCTCAGGCAGGCTGCCTGCACCTGGCAATTCCAACATGCGTGCTAGAGCAGGGACCCCTGAGACCCCAAGAGGCCAGTGTTCCCCCCCCGTCCTCAGGCAGAGGTCAATATGTCAGAGAAAACCCACCTTTTCCTCTTGTTGCGCTATCGTAAAATGAAGCTGTGTATGTCAATGGGAAGGGTAGAGAGCGGATTACAAACTAAATGGGAATCATCACAAATTGTTATTAGAATTTGGCAGACAGGCAAGAAAAGAACTTACTCTCCGAGAAGCTCAGAAGGGGATTATTCTGGCGCAAGTGCTTGTCTGGCAAGACTTGGCACAATTAGCTCTCACCCTCACTCAGCCCAGCCGTGGGGCTGCTGGTCAAAGTGTCTGCCTGTACTGTGGCCTCTGCTAGATATCATCTCCCCACTAACTTGAATATCATCAGTTTGAGTGCTAATTCCAGACCTCATTTTCTGGCGCTACATAAATCTAATCTGATTGATAACAGGCATGGACAAAAAAACCCCAAACAATACTAATGATGCTGCAGATTCAGTAAAGCCCATCCAGAACATTATGAATCATACTTAATGCTTGCTGACATGAAGTATTCACTAATTTTTTTTTTTTTAATAAAACTGCATCACAAAAGATATTGTTATTTTTAAAGACAATTGCAAATTTAAGTCTGTCTAATAAAACATACTGCGGTTTCTAAAGGCAAATTCACCCTTTAAAAGCGCCCCTTCTAAAGGACATTTTAATATTCCTTCTGAATTTGTGGTTATCTGTTAATTACCCTATTCTGAAATTCAGGTGGGCACTCACATTTTCTTCCATTCACCTATTGTAATATTTACAGTGGGTCAAATTCTGGTCCCAGTGAGGTTATCATACTGCCATTGGGTTCTGTGGAAAAAAGTTGAGTATCTGCACCCCAAGATTTGTTTAAAATTCATATTTTATGCTTTATACTTTTTTACCGTCCGTGTGGAAATGACAGGCATGCATGTTGTGTTAATTGAATTGTCAGAGAATGAAAAGGGCCATGCAGGTCATGCAGGATGTGAAGGATACACAAATTTATTCCAAATCTCTGCTTGAATTTTTGAAGGGAATTGACTGAAATGGATTTTCAGCACTGAAGTGCTCTTCTTTATAGGCATAATTACTGGCGAGGTTCATTTGGTTTGGAGAAAAGAATAAATACAGGCGAAAATCTTCTCTATCAAAACATTGCCCAACTCCCTTAACAGCTGTCTAGAACAAGTACAACCTTTCACAGTACAGAATAGTTGGAAAATAAAAGTCAGTGCCAGAAAAAAAACTCCATTAGCAGTTACACTGAGAAATCCTTTGGAATAAAAATATGTAGTTCTTAGCACTCTAAGACAATCACAAAACAGATTCTATTTTCCTTTCACAGATCTGTGTGCCTGTGATGCTAGTGGCTGAATATTCTGTAAAGGTTTATTTATCAGACCAGTGAGCTAGAAAATAATCAGTCATAACTAAACTTTAAAATTAAAACCAGCAAAGACAGTCTCAGAGCTCCTATCCTGTATTAGCTCAAAAAAGAGACTGAACTGACTAAAATGTTCCTTTAGTAATATGCAGTCTTGAACTTGCACAGTTCTTCTTCGCATGGTGTCATCCTCAAAGCCATCTGATTTACTAAACAATTTCCATCTCTGGTAAATAAATAGCATAAACATTTGTGGCCCGTGGTAAAGGTTTTACTAACTGTTATGCCATCATTTTGTCCTTATGTTTGGGGTTTTTTAAATATTTTTTTTTATCGTAACTACAGTGATATCTTCACTCCATTGACATTCATTTCCAATTAGTATTCTCTTACTTGTAGAATCTTGCGCTTTCAGGCAAAATGTATCTTCTGGAGAAAAAAAAAAATGTCCACAATCAGTACACTTTTTCAGCTTTTCTGTGACAGGAAATTTGCAATATATGGGATAATAAAGGGGAAGGTCTTCCAAAGCCCAAAGGGAAGGTTAGTCTCCCTGCCTCCCAGCCTAGTTTGATATATTCTCTCTAAAATTTCAGATCACAGTCCTGCAAAAGCATATGTAACTCAAACCCCTTCAGGCAGACCCATTAATGACAGTTCTTGGAGGCTGTTCACCGCAAGAAGCATGACGAGAATACGCAAGAATGGAAGTTCTTACCTATTCTTGGGGAAGGGTGACTGGAAGGCTGTACAGTGGAAAAGGACCTGGGTGTTCTAATTGACAGTCGACTGAATATGAGCCAGCAGTGTGCCCAGGTGGCCAAGAAGGCCAACGGTATCCTGGCTTGTGTTAGAAATTTTGTGACCAGCAGAAGAAGGGAGGTGATTGTCCATCTGTACTCAGCACTGGTGAGGCTGCACCTTGAGTGTTGTGTTCAGTTTTGGTCACCTCAGTATAGGAGAGATATCGAGGTGTTGGAGCAAATGCAGAGGAGGGCAACAAAGCTGGTGAAGGGCCTGGAGAACAGACCTTATGAGGAGCGATTGAGGGAGCAGGGTCTGTTCAATTTGACAAAGAGGAGGCTGAGGGGGGATCTCATCATGCTCTACGATTGCTTGGAAGGACATTGTAAAGAGGTTGGTGCTGGTCTCTTCTCACAGGGAATTAGGGACAGAACCAGGGGGAATGGTTGCAGGGTGCAACAAGGCAAGTTTAGGCTGGACATTAGGAAGAAATTCTTCATGGAAGGAGTGGTCAGACACTGGAACAGACTGCCTAGGGAGGGGTTTGAGTCGCCATCTCTGGATGTGTTCAAGTGTCGCTTAGATGTGGTGTTGGGTGATATGGTTTAGGGGTGAACTTGTAGTGTAGGGTTAATGGTTGGACTCAGTGATCCCAAGGGTCTTTTCCAACCTGAATTGTTCTATGATTCTATGATTCTAAGTAAACTCATAGAAGTGTTCTCCCTGACACCTCATCAATTTCTCCTCACGCTTTTACAGGGTGAACCTGGAGAAGCTGGTAACCCTGGACCACCTGGAGAATCTGGCACATCTGTGAGTGTTTTGGGTTCCTCTAACTGTTATAACCTTTATTGTGGTGAACTAAGGTACCTGGTAGTGCTTACTCTAGAAAGCATTTAATCAGATTATTTGTGTACTTGTGTATGTTTTCTCTAAATTTTCAGTGAAGAACTTATACCTTTAAAAGGCATTTTTTTTCCTGTATAATTATAGCCCCATCTTGCACTAACGGCTAGAGGACAGAGGTGAAGACTTCGTAAGAGTAGTTGTTACTTTTTCTTCCCAAAGCATTAACTTTGACACGTGTCGTTTTCTCAGCTGCAGCTGGGTGCCAGTGTTGGCATCTGAGCTGAGACTCACAGGTTTCCCAATCTGAAGCAGAAGTCCTAATTTCTCACTCATGTGCCAGCATTTATTGAGGAGTAACATTGCTCAGGTCTGAGAGGAGATTTGCCAGTGTAATCTTTTTTTAGCCACTCAATGTCCAGATGATATTTTTCTGCTCGTGTGTTTTCTATAGGGTCCAAAAGGTGAGAGAGGAGAAAAAGGTGAGGCTGGTCCACCTGGAGCAGCTGGACCACCAGGTGCTAAAGGACCTCCAGGTGATGATGGGCCTAAGGGTAATCCCGTAAGTGAGCTTAATAGTTTTAACACAAAGCACTGTCAAGCACTGCTGAAATTGCGCTACGTAGAGAACTATCTATAATTTTCTACTTTTGAAGTGAATTCATTCTATGCTTCATAAAATATTTGTGACGATTGTCAATGGACGACACATTCCTTGATATTTTCTTGATTTATCTAGGGTCCGGTTGGGTTTCCTGGAGATCCTGGTCCCCCTGGAGAACCTGGTCCTGCTGTAAGTGTTAAAAAGTATTTACGAACAGTTTAAGGTCCTAAATTTTGCACTAAATTCTAGTTAACCCTGCCTCTTCCTTGTCTGGGGATGAAGTCTTGCCTGTGAGATCTGTTGCTTTTCTATCCATGTAGTCTTAAGGTTTAAGAAAGGTTTAGAAATCTTCCAAAAGTTTGGAAAAATAGTGTCCTTGGGAAAATGCTCTGTAGAAGAATAGTGCTCTTATATTCATAAATGAAACTTAAGGTACTTTATGTAGCTGAGTTTTGTATTTAGTTTATTTTCCTGTGAATTCTATAGGGTCAAGATGGTGTTGGTGGAGAGAAGGGTGAAGACGGTGATCCGGGTCAACCTGTGAGTTGTTTCTGTCATTTTATTTCAGCTGCATGTCCTTTCCTATGCTAAGACAGTATCTTTTGTGGAATCCGTAGTTTCTATACATTCAAACCCTTAAAAATATTTTCTAAGTGGATGCTTTTTCTATTGTACTGAAAAATATCTATTTATTTCCTTGCGGAGACAGAACTCTCCATATTATAGTAACAATAAGAAGCAAGAGCTCAATTTCTTTTAGAAGTAGAAACAAATGATGTGTTAAGGATTTGTGCCAGAGATGCTGAGGAGCACTAAAAATAGAGCAATTCTGAGCATAAGAAAGGAATGCTGCACCCAAATAAGCTTTGTCAGCTGACCTGATGAAATGAAGCAAAAACTTGATGTTTCTGCTTTAAAGAAAGTTAAGAAGTATCTGAGCAACACGTGGACTAAGCATCAAAGTTCTTACATTTCCATAGATTTCCCACGGTAAAACATCGTTAATTAAATTTTTTTATTGCAAAAATACAGGATTTCCATTTTGGAAAGTCTCTTTCTAGGTCTGGAAGTTCTGTTTATCAAGGAGTTATCCTATACAGTACAGTTTGAAAATAAAAACCACTTGTGCATTGAACGTACGTCTGCAAGAAAATTATAAACAGGGGTTTATCTGCAAAGTTCAGGACTGGTTTGAAATGTTCTGTTGCAAACAGGAAGAGAAAAATAGAACGATTGTGTTTTGCACGGCAACAAAAGCTATTAAAAACATCCAAAAGACAACCCTAAGAAAGGATTTGCTGAACATACAAGGTTAGACTTTTTCTGTGTGCGTTTACGGTGCTTGCTTTCTGTCCGGTGCAAGGGTCTGACATACTGCAGATGGTTGTCGTGTATAGAAAAAGATAAGAACTTTATCCTTTGTTACCACTGAGCTGTTAATTTTCCATCACAGGGTCCACCAGGTCCTTCAGGTGAAGCTGGCCCACCTGGTCCACCAGGAAAAAGAGTAAGGAATATCTCGTTTTCTCTGTGTTCTAGAGAATTTCAGCTACTTGTTTTCCCTGCTGCAATGCTCTTATCTGATGTTTGAATATTCTTTTAAGTAATGTCGTGGGAGAAAGGAAAAAAATAGAAGCACCAGGGAAAACCCTTTGAGCTGGGTTATATGGGCCATGGGAATAAAAATACCCAAGGAAGGCTGTATTCCTGACCTGTCAGTGTGCTTGTTCTTTTCACCCAGCTGAATTCAATGTCTGCTGAATCAGTCTGCTGACAGAATTGATTATGAGAATAGTAAAAGATAGCATCCTCAGGCACATGTCTGCTGGCAGGGAGCAGGAAGAATATTTTCACCCTGGTATCGTTAGCCTCTGATAGAAAATAACTTCAACATAGCTTTTGTGTAAACCTGTATCATCCCCTCTGCCTACAAAATTACCAAGCAGGCATTTCTGTAACTTATGAAGCTATTCCATTCTTTCTAAAGTCTCTGAAGCTTCACAGGCTTTACAAATATAGCTAATCAAGCTGAGTAAATAACATTACACTTACAGAGCTGTAGTAGATGCATCAACCTTTAGGTCTGCTTCAGAGAGCAATCAGACGCAGTTTTTACATTTTAAAAAACAAGGGAGGGGGCATCATTAAACGTAAGCTGAGAGCTATTTAACAAAATGTATTCAATTGCTCCATTTAAGAGGCTTGAATAAACTGACATGCCTAATTAATTTTATCTATTTTACACAATAATCTATTTGCTCCACCAACTTGCAAAACATTTACAATGCTGTGAGTGATTACAGTAGCATTAGCAACCTTATCACTAGAACTGAGATATCAGCTGAACATTAGCAATTAGTAAGCTTGTTCGTCATCATATTAGAACTTCTTCCTTTATAATAGAGGCAGTAGCTTGCTCCTGGCAGATGGAGATCTATTGCATCTGATTTTACCTGGACAAAAACCTCTTTAGAAACACAAACGTTGCATCGCTGGTGGTTTGACACATTTCCATGTAAGGAAAAAAATGCATGACTAAATATTGCAAGTAATACCATTCCTGAATTCTGAAGAGAACATTTTGTAGAATTGGATTCTGGATAACTTGAGTACTTGAACGCTTCAAGCTTGTAGAGATTCTGTCTTGTATAGGTATTATAATGGAGAGAAACAGGAAAGGATGGAAAGCTTCGTACTGGCAGAAAGAATGAACACAAAAGATGCTCTTTGTTATTGTTCATCAACTGTGAACAATAAGGCTGTTCCAGATTCCTGCTCTGAAGAGGTCAAATTGACTAGTGTTGTAATGACCGCTTAGGTCAACTCTGTATCAAACTAAAAGATTAATTCTGTGGCTGGAACAAGAATGGATCATGAGAGCACCCACCAATTGTGCACAAATCCATACAACGTCTGCACACACAGTTACTGTGATTGCTTGCACCGTAACTACGCGGACATCTGAAGCCTTCCGAGTGTGTGTTTGTCTGATCTGGTATGTGCCCAGATCATTTTAGAAGTCAGAATCTGTAAATAAGTAATTATGATTTAATGAAAATTTTTTTTAAAAAAAAAAGTAATGACTGAGAGACTATGTCAGCAGGTTTGACCTTCGTGGATGATAGTTTTGGCCTATGAATATTTATATGTAATAGAGTCATTCGTTTGAGTGTAGGACTTTGTTTGGAAGACACGCTGCTCTCTGCCCTATGAAACTAAAGGTAGTTACGGTATTAGGCTTTCTGACGGGCAGTGGTAGAAGTATTCTTTGGAACAGCATTTGTGAGGTCTGAAGAGTTCTCAGGTGTACAGCTTTCCTGTGGCTCGTAACAGCATCGTCTCTGACCAGGAGCATCCTGTGAGAAGACTGTTTCTGAAGGGGTTTAATGTTTTGCCACTTCGCCTTCCAATGCAGGAGATAAGTGAGTTGTGGTCAGGGAGAAAGGGAACATCTCAAAATGCCTCCTGATCCAAAGCCTGCTTATCTAGAAATGTAGGTGCAAAAATGGAACCACTCTACAGTTGTGCTGCTACTATTGTTTTCTGAAATGTAATCCTTTGCACACACTTTTGGGACTTTCTTTTTGTTATAGAGTACTGGGTAACATCTCTAGTTTGAATTCATTGATCTCTAAGGTCCTAAATGATCTCTAAGGTCCCTTCCAACCTAGGCCATTCTATGATTCCATGATGATGTCTATCTGACAAAAGCTAAAAATGGCACGAGGGAGACACCATCAAACAGTATTCATTCTTAAAAGGCGTAACATACACTGTGAGTAAAAGTCAGCACACGGGTACCTCTCGCTTAGGTTCCTCACAACTTTTCAGTGTGTTGGCCCTTCAGCTGTGTTTTCTGCTGGTTTGATTATTAGAGTCCATTAGATGTCTAGATCACATACACACCGGCTTCCATATAAATGTGGGGGTTCAAAGTGCAAGACTAAGCTCCATTTTCGCTCTCAACTGGAGGGCTTACTGTCTGCTTTCAGTCACGGAACAGATGTCAACACTGCAGCAAAGCCAGTCTTGAAGTTTGGAGGATCAAAAGTTTATTTGGTTAGTTGCCTTTACTTACATACAATTTTGAATAACTGAATAGACCAGGAAGTGTTTCTGTGAAGGAGATTTTTTTCCACTTTGGCTACAGCATCGTGCTGCCCCAGCATGGTGCACACACCATTTACAAATTAACCTGATTTTCTCATTGATTGCAAGCGCGCAGAACACCTAACAATACTCTACGTTCCTGTCTTCAGCAGACTGATGAAATGTGATAATGGTTTTGCTGTGTTGCAAATCATGTTTTCAGTCAGATGATGCCCAGCTATAAACAACACTTTTAACTATTTTAAAGAAATTATGAAATATGGAAGAGCAGACAGAAATATCCAGTAGGTTCCTCTAACAAAGAAAAGGAGGACAGGTTTGTTTCTGTAAGGATTCGTTTGTTTTCTCAGTTCTGCATCAAATATACCAGGCAGTATCTCCAGTCTTCAAGCGTAATGATTATAGAAATCACCATGATAGCTGGGAGGGTAACTGCGGGGAGCCATGCATTAATTCAGAATTACTGTTATTGGGATCTTTTCAGTCAGTTAAAATTGACTAGACACTCCAACAATTCGAGTGTAGAAAGGTGAGATAAATAATAATGAGCAGTCTTCCCATCTGTGCCCCAGCAGCGCTCACAGCCTGTCAGGCAGAGCAGCTTGCTTCGCCGCACCGTGCCGGCGCTGCTTCAGAAGGAACGTGCCCCCCTCGTTTAGCAGTCGTGATCCATCCTATTTGTAATTTACCCATCATGATGGTTTCAGCTCTGGCTAATTCTCATCGCAGCTGCAGTTGATGGCGTCCCTGGCAACAGGGAGGCTGGATTAAAATGATCTCTAAGGTCCCTTCCAGCCTAGGCCATTCTGTGATTCTATGATTTGCAGATTGTGCAGAGACCATGTGTCTGAGAGGCACTCTGCCTCACACAGCCCTCTTCAGATTCTTGGGGAGCATGGGTTCCGTATGGGAACTGGAGTGCAAGGACATTTCAAGCAGTAAAGGCAGTGGGTATGCACAGTAATTCATGGGGAAAAGAGAAAAAAATAAAATTCCTCGTTCTAAAATGTTCTAGAGTTCTATTTATATACCTGCTAATCATTTTTCTTGTTATCACTGCAAACTGTGATCCACCCAACCCAGTACAACCTACACAAAGGGTTATGTGCATCAAACACTGTTCCTGAAGCAGGAGTGATTTAAATTATTCTTCCTGTTTTAAAGAGTCAGCAACTGGACCACACTGCCCAGGGCTTTTTAGATTCTCTATATTTTGATGGGCTACAACTAAGTTCTTTGCCACTTACAGCCCTTAAAAATTCCAAAGAGAACAACCTATTGATACCCACAACAAATGACCGTAGTCCACTGTGGGTAGTTCAATTCATTTTACATTAACGTTGATGGAAAGCCTGAACTACCTCTGTTGGCCAAAAAGCTTCATACAGTGCTGCAGATGTTCAATTCCACCCTGGAGAAAGCTTAATTTCAGAAGCAAATGTATTATCTTAATGTATTTTTATGTAAATAGTTATAAAATGAATATAAATCTCCAGGAATTAAATTAAAACTGGTGGAGTTGCTCAAGGAATGTGCCAATAGTATTGGATGGTGAAATACATCAGGCTATAAAAAGTCTGCGCTAAATTCACTTTGCTGAAGTTTAAGGCTGGGCCAGCCAGCAAAATTTTAACAGGTGCTTTCTCGATTTCCCCCACCGCCCTCCCAGGGCAGGATGACAGGGGAACCAGGGAGAGAGACTTGGAGGTCAGAAAACAGATTTGAATCAGTTTAATGAAAAAGAAAAATTATACTAATAATGAAGATGTTAAGCCGTATACAGCTACTATACCAGCATGCAAATGTATTCAAAGCCACAAGACAATATGCAGAACCTGTGCCTTCCTCAGCTCCTAAAGCACACGGGCAGGTGCTTCACCGCACATATGGTTCTTTTCTGTAAAATTAAGAATGTGCTTTACTTAGAGGGGCCTGTATTTTTGTGTGTCTGTTGTGAGGAAGTAAAAGCAGTAAATAAATGAAGCGATTGAGTTTTCCCTGTTGCTGGTCCTTAGAACAAAATTTTTTTTTTTAATTTCTACCTAATAAACTGCTTTTTGCATTAATGAGCGGGTGAGTCTTGGGAAGGAAGATTTATAGATGCAGAAAATCACCTTGTGGTCATTTTCCTTTTGCTTAAAGCTGTTCACTGCTTGGCAAGAAATGGCTGCTTGTAATAAAGATGTTTCCCAGGCTAAAAATTAACCTTGTAGGAAAACACTTGGCACATTATCTTGAGTGCATCTTTTTGAAACTTAAGTAGATACGAGAACCATCAGATTGTACATACTGTTTCTGCTTGTCGCTGAAGATATGACTATTAATTCCGTGACCTAAAAATCAGCCCTTGATGTTTTGGAGGAGAAAAATATTTGGATTTGGTGTTGTTTTTTTTCATTTTTCTCTGAATCTTTAAGAAAATAAGATGGGTGACTTCAACAAGAGGCAGTCACTGTGCTGCCGGATGAGTGTGGCTCCTGTTTTTTGGCTTCCACCCAAATGTTCTCCCATCTCTGCTTCCTCCTGCACTACGAGTTCTAGCTTCTTAGTTGAACAGAGCTTTAGTAGAGCCACAGCAGGAGAGCCCATACCAAGAGCTATTTTAGTCAGTGTCTTTATTTCATTCCTGGAGAGCTCGTCATGTGATTTTATTATTTTTGCCTTTTGTATCTACTGGATAATACTAAGGCATGTATCAGGGTTTTTTTTCCCCAAGCTATTTGTTTTAACCTCATCGTATCAGAAGTGTTAGGTGATTCTTTTAGATATTCTGTAAGCCCAGAAAATTTTATTAGGGGAAAAAAAAAACCAAAAAAAAACTGATATCACAGATTGGGACTTTTATCCTGTGAATGTCTTTTGTTAGCATTTATTAATAAACTGGGAAATGCACTTGTGGAATCTTTTCACTGGTAATATTTTAGAAAACTGAGATTTTGAGCTCCGTCTCGGTGTTTTACAGGGACCTCCTGGAGCAACTGGTGCTGAAGGCAGACAAGGTGAAAAAGGTGCAAAGGTAATAATCCAAGATTTATTTTTTTAGATGCCTGGAAACATAAACTATATAAAAATGAAAAGTAAATTGCTTACCGTGCACTGAGTGTGAAACTCCTCAGAGTAATAATAGGCAAAGAGTAAATCTGAATGAAGACCCAGAGTTAGTACGAATCCATCAATGAAGTACACGGGGGCTCTCTCCAGCGTGGGTGCAACTTAGCTCAGCCCTGGGGAGAAGGGAGAGGAGCATGCTTTGCCAGCACCGTATCTTCCTGTGAAGCTGTCAATCTTCTGTCCAGAAAAGTGTAGCAGAAGAGCTCCTATAAGACGGAGCGAGGAAACTTTGCTCTCACTTTGCAGCCTGTGTATCCCCATAGTGCCAAGCTTAGGCAGCTCCTCCTCTCTTACCTGTTGCTCACGTTCTTTCTAGGGGGAACCTGGTGCAGAAGGGGCTCCTGGAAAAACAGGTCCAGTTGGGCCACAGGGACCTGCAGGAAAGCCTGGCCCTGAAGGTCTCCGTGCCCTGTGGTAAGGAAACAGAGCGTATAGTAATATTTTAAATGTTGTGTTTCTTGTATATCCCTTGGTAGAGCAATCTTCGTGGTTTTTTCTAGGGAGAACAAGGTCTACCTGGAGCACCAGGTCAGGATGGCCCTCCTGGGCCTCTGGTGAGTACCCTTCCTTTCAGTGCCGAAACAGAAAAAGCACCGTTTGAAATAAACCGTTAGCGTGCCTATGCGCTTACAGAAAAACGGGATATACAAGTCAATTTTTAGCACAAAGTCACTATTCTTCTGTGCTGGTAAGCTCTGATACACAACTGCCTTCCAGTTTGACTGCTCTGCTTCAGTAGACATCTGGGCTGACCCCTGCTGTTATACCTCAGTAAAAAGTGGAATTAAGGCAGTGTAAAACCAAAATTCTTGAAATCCCCTGAGCAGAATTAAAAACACAATAAAAGAATCTTGCAATCAAAAAAATCTGCTTCTGTCCTCACATCAGCAAGGCTTAATAGCTTAAAACATTTTATTTCCTTATCAGTGGCAAATTTTGACATCCATCGATTTCAATGACTGCTAGTTTTAGGAGAACTTTATTCATAGGGTAAAAGTTTAGATTATATCTGTTCCTTAGAGAAAGAAGAAATTGGAAGTAGGGCCAAAAAGTGACTTCCACCAAAGAAGAAAACATGCGGGTTTTATAAAAATGAACAGTAGCATTGTGTCTGTTGTTCAGGAAATATAATTCATGACCAAAATGATTTAAAGGATCTGAATGAATCGAGCTCCCAGTTTCCAGGAGCATACCACAGTCCTGCTATGTGGTAATAATGACATTAAAGCAAGGCAAGCTTGTAGATGACATATTACCAAATTATATAATTTTTTTCTCTTTTCACTGGCTATTTTAATGCATTTTTTTCTAACAAGCTGAAAAGATAGCACCGTGAGCACAAATTGCATGGTATTGGTCTTACTCAGTGGTACGTGCAGCAATTCAAATTTAAACCATATGTCCAGCAGGTTCATTCTTCACGCGTCAAGCAAAGGTGATCCGATTTATGGAAAGCTCTCATATCCCTTACTCTCCAACCTCTCCGAAGTAGAGTTCACCTCTGTTATCACAGTTGAGTGACACCTTGGAATAAAAAAGTTTCAAAAGAAAATATGGACCGTTATATTTTATGGGAAAAAAGTAATGCACAAGCATTAGACTCTCAAGGCATTTTACAGTTTGCAAACGGCGTTATCACATCCCAAGTAAAATCCACTCTTATTTTGGCCAGAAAATACAATCAGATTGCAGAGAATAGAGCAGTAAGGGGCTGTCCTCTACTTCAGAAATGATGTGGTTCTTAAAGGGGAAAAGGAGGGCTGTGAGTACAATGCATGAAGGAAATTTTCTGATCCTTTTCCTGTATGGACTTAGAGGATACAAAGAATATGAGTCCTTAGGTAGCCTTAATACTTAAAGTTTTATGTGCTTAAGCTGTAAACCTGAACTCAAAATCTTTCCACGAGCATTCTTGCATTCCCAGTTAGAACTCAGTGTCTGAATGAACATCAGACCTTTCCACTATAAAAAAAATAAATGAAAGTAGGGGGAAATAAATGAGAATTTAAACTGAAATACCATATAAATCAAGACTTTTACCCTAAACCAGTCTTTCACTTTCATGTGCTTATGTGAACATGAGCAATTGTCTTTTCTTTCATTGGCTGGAACACTTTCATGCGTGAAAGTGTTTGGGTAACTAGTTACATTTCCAAAACCATTCCAGACATGCAACTTCTTAACCTATATTATTGACCTGTTATGCCACACACACTAGAAAGAATTTTTTCCAATGAACCTGGTGCATCAGTGTATCTACTAATCACTTCTGTGGATATAATTATAGATGTTATTACAACGCCACCTGCATATAATTTAGTTTTTCTCTGCCCCTTAAAAAAGAGCGAGCAAATAATGTGCTGAGGAAACTTTACACTGCAGCTCTTTGTTGCCCTTCATTTGAACATTCTGGTTTTGTCTAAGGTCTCATGGGTAACATATTGCCTTTAAGTCAGCATTTGGGAACAATGAATGAGAAACTGCAATGAAAAGGACTCCCCTGTGCTAAGCCCCTAATAAAAAGCTCTTCTCTCTCAAGAGTTTAGGATGGGATCACCACCACAGCTTCCAAACGATGTGATCCATCTGTTTCATGGCAGACGGATCAGGGAACTGCAAACTGATCTCTTCAGTTCTGTGCTGAATTCTAAATGCCAGTGAGCAATTATTGAGCAATAATAAGCATCCCTTTCCCACATGCCACTTAACCAGCAGCCTCCAAATACATCACCAAAAGAGCTTTGATGTTCAATTCAAACCCAAAGCTGAGCGTTTTAATGAACTATAGACTCCCAAATGCACAGGCTTCCTGTCAGCTCAGCAAACCCCTTTTTCAGGCGCCTTGCTGCAACTTAAGCTTTGCTTTTTGTTTGCATTTTAAGTAAGCAAAGTTTATCTGTAGTAGTTGGGGAGGTCAGGTCTCCTTCCCCTCCTTCCCTTTGCAGTAGATTGCTATCAGGAGAAGAATATGAAAGTGGAGTGGCAGTTGAGCACAACGTACTGCAGGTGAAAATGTCTGATTCTGTATTCCAAAAGCTTAAAAACTTTGCTTTTTTGTTCATGAATTATGTATTTGCCTTGGCTTTTGCATCTGATGATAACCTGAAGTAGAGATGGAAAGGATATGCGTGGAATAATATTTTGCATGCAGAGTCTTCTGGCACTTTTGAATCTGTGCTGGGCTGAAAAGGGCACTTATTGCTGTTATCCGTATCGTACCTTCACAGATGTCCACTGCCAGCAGGAGACTAGGAGTGAGGAGATATTTAGTCTAGCAGCTCTATGCCTAATGCATACACCTTTGGTGTGAGATTAATAGCATCGGAGAAGCGAATGCCTTTTCTGTGCTTGCATATGCACTGAACTTTAAACCTCACTCTGCACAAATTGCATGAAAGCAATGGTGCCATCCTTAGCAACCTCAAACCATTTCTCAGATCCCTCAAAGCTCATCTAAAATCATAAATATGGATTAAAATAATAATTAAAAAAAAAGCTGGAGGAAAAAACAAGCTTCATATATAATCTCCTTCTGTGCCATCTATTGAGCTATATTTTTGACTGTTGGTAAAATAGTATCTTTAATGGATTGCTCTTATGACCCTGGTAAAGTTTAAAAAAAAAGCACTGTCAGGCAAAAAAGCTTGTGCCAAGTTATAAGAACAAGATTATTTGGTGTTTTTTTTTCCAGGGATGTGCAGAGAGCACGACCTCTCGATGTGAATGTGTTTCTCCTTCCAGTGGTTTCCCAGGCAGCGAGACTGGAACGGAGTTTCACAATAGATGGAACATCAGTTTACGCTGGGGACGCATGAAAAAAAGGAGTGGTTTGGGCTGTCCTCTGCCCACACCCTCCCCAGAAATATGGAAGGGCTTGTATAATGGTGCTGTTGATCCAGTTTTGGTTGTTCACAGCTCTGTTTCTTGCCCCAGCATGTTTCTGTTTACTGAAATGTTTAGGGACAACTGCGGGTCAAATTTAGAAAAAAGAACACTTCTCACTCATTTTCCTCAAGTGACATGTCCTTACCGTGCTGCAGAAGGGCTGGCTTGTAAATACAAACTAAAAATTGGAAGCCTCCTGTATGATGTGAACCGTGACAGAACCTAAAAAGGTACCAGTGTAAAATCTTGCTAAAATAAGCAACCAAAATAATAAAGTACAGCAATTAAAGAGGAATAATTGAAAGCATATAATGTAACCCCAAGCAAAATCAGCTGATCAACACAGAGCTATTTGAATATCACTGGCTTCATTGGATGCTTTCAGTGCTCTTCAAGAATTTAGTTAACCCTCCTCTTCTCTTACAGTTTTCTAATTATGAAGTAATTTAAAATGCTACAGCAGCATCATTCTGTCTTTTTAAACATGCCTTACAACTTTCTCTCAAACCCTAAATCACGTGCCCTCAGTCACTCCCATCCACCACCGAATGACTCTCTACTTCGACTTGCACTGCCTTTAATAATATTTCAAGGATAGCATGTTAAAACTTATTTTAACACTACTTGCCTTGATTTACTTAGGGTCCACCTGGCTTGCCTGGCCTGAAAGGAGATCCGGGTTCCAAAGGAGAGAAGGTATACTTCAGTCATTGGTTGTGCCTTTGTGATTTTGACTCAGTCTAGAAGTCTCTACAAAATGAGCACAAAGAAAGCAAGTATTAGCAGTATCAGAAAGCTAGACAACTGCCCACGTCTGTCAGTCAGCTTGCCACGGCTTTAATAATGATCATCAAGTTTTAAGCCACATCAGATATCCTGGAGACATGTAGAAAGAAAAAGATTACTGCCTGTGTGGTAAACTATTGACCCTGCAATTCTTCCTTGCAATGAAAATCCCAAGGACGTGGATTTAAGGAGAACTGTTGGCCTTATGAAAGCAAAAAGAGTAGAAATAAAAAATATTTGAGATTTTTATGTTAAAACTAACAAAACATAAATATTTAACAATTATAACGCTTTCATTTGAAATAATAGAGTAGGACATTCAGGATAGCATTTTCTAATGGAGTCCCAACAACTTACTGCTTGCTTGTATATCAGAGGAAAAAAAACTATATAAAGGGATACAAATACGTGTCAGTTTTTCTTTATGTGCTTGGATCAGCTGCTTATACAGCTCTATTACACATGGAACAAAATGTGGGACTCTATAGCATGCTTATAGCATCTAAATGTGACATTGGGTAGGAAATTTGTCCCCACAGGTATTGTTATTTCTGTATCGGTTTCAGTAGATCTCTTCCACAGAGGAAGCAGTCACAACATGCAACTAAATTCCGAGTCTAAAAGGCCAACTAACAGCAATGAACGTGCTGAGTTCTAAGTGTATTTTATTCTGTCTCATGTAGGGACATCCTGGTTTGATTGGCCTGATTGGGCCTCCAGGGGAGCAGGGTGAGAAGGGTGACAGGGGTCTTCCTGGCCCACAAGGATCTCCTGGAGCCAAGGGCGATGCAGTGAGTAAAACATACTTGTCTTCTCATTCTGTGCAAGCAAAGAGTACATAGAATCATAGAATCATAGGCTGGAAGGGACCTTAGAGATCATTTTAATCCAGCCTCCCTGTCGCCAGGGACGCCACCTCTCGACTAGATCAGGCAACACATAGGGACCGAACGGGAATCGAACCTGCGACCTTAACATTGTTAGCGCTACGCTCAACTGACTGAGCTAACCAGCCCCCATTCCAGTCTTTTTATTTTTTTTTCTGGAGAGGCATAAAGTTGCTGTAAATATTTAACACTCAGAGCCTCCTGCTCGTTTAAAACTTTCCTAGGCGTTTTACAAACACAGTGAAGTCAAACAGCTTAAAACAAGATCGGTGAAGGCAGCACAGGTACCTGAGAGAAAACTAGCAGCGCCAAGCTCATCGTGGTTATCAACTGCACTACCCGAAATAGCTTCCTTTCTCCTACTTATTAAGCTATGTTTGAAGGCGCTATGTAAAATACGAGGTCTGAAGGGGAACACAACTGTGACTATGAGTACTGCAGTGTAAGAACAGCTACAAGCAAGCTGTCAGACAATATTTTACACTTACAAGCCATTTTGGACCCTAGCAAACAGCCTAAATCAAAACTCATCAGGGTTGGAGGCCTAAGAGGACTGCCTTTCTCATTGATACGCATTTGTAATCCCATCCAGAATGTAGCATGATTCAGTTCTGTACTTATTCTCTTAATCTTTCTTAGGGAATTTCTGGTCCTGCTGGTCCACTCGGACCCCCTGGTCCTCCTGGCTTACCTGTAAGTAATTTAATCCAGTCTTTCTGTGCAGAACACTGCCGTGTTTTGTGGAACATATTCCAATTAGTGTTGTATGTTCTTGCCCATAGGGTCCCCAGGGTCCAAAAGGTTCCAAAGGATCCAGCGTGAGTAACTCTTTTCCACAGTATTTGCTCTTTTACTTAACTTCTGCGTGTGGTACTTTTTAACGTTGTGTAGCGTGGCCAACACTGCTTTCTTCCATTGCTTTATAGGGTCCTGCTGGTCAAAAGGGTGACAGTGGGTTACCTGGTCCACCTGGTCCTCCAGTAAGTAAGAACTCTTTTCTGGCATGCATGCACATTACACTGAGATGACCATCCTGTCTCGACAAGGGTAGAAAACAGCATTTCTGAACCTGCAGCTAAGCAAAATATTAATGATTGTTTGAAAATTCATTTTTCAGGAAACGCAGATCAACAAGACACAGAAAAGCATTGTCTGCAACTGAAAAAGCCGTTAGAAACTTAAAAAGAAAACAAACACAGAAAACCTCACAAGCAAACAGAATAACCCTCACAATAATAATTTAATGTTATATTGAAGCACAGAAAATAGAATAGTGGTTTCCCCCTCTTGATACTCTTCTATTTCTACTGTTTCTTTTTCGTATCATGACAATCTCAAATGAAACCAGTCCAAGTGTTTCAATTTCTTGAAATGAAATATTACTTTGTAAACCCCAAGTGGAATTTTGAAGTTTTAGCGTAGGAAAATACACCCAGTCTTCATTTGTCATAGGCTACACCTCTGCTCGCGGGGATTGCTAGGGCTGAAGAGGGAATCACAAGTTTGTTCTACACTCTTAGGTGAGGGCAGCATGAAGAGTTTAGAGCACAGCAATGGCTTGGCCTTCTACAGTCATCTTTTTCTTCATGTAAAATCAAAGCACGTAGGCATGCCTCTGAAGAAAATAAGTGAAAGAAAGGAATGGAGAATCTGAAGAAAGACGATTCAAAGCATCTCCGAGCCACATTGTGTGGTCTACTCACTCTGTGTGTTTATGCAGCTGAAAAACAAGCTGGAAAAGCAACCAGATATGTTGTTTTCTACTCAGGGTCCTCCGGGTGAGGTCATCCAGCCGCTGCCGATCCAGTCGCCCAAAAAGACAAGAAGATCTCCGGATTACATGTTATCTGACGCCGGTGATAGCATTCTGGATTATTCCGATGGCATGGAAGAGATCTTTGGTTCATTGAATTCACTGAAGCAAGACATCGAGCACATGAAGTTTCCCATGGGCACTCAGAATAACCCAGCCCGAACTTGCAAAGACTTGCAGCTCTGCCACCCTGACTTCCCAGACGGTATGTCAGAGGCACACACGGCTCAAGTTTCCGTCTGCCGAGACTCTAGGGCAGAATAATTTAGTTGCTCAAAAGCGCAGTCTCATTAAATGCGTTTTTTGCAGGCGTAAAAGTTTATAAAATGTAGGTAAGAGATGTTCTCTTGGTAAAAGCCAGAATGCTTTAAATACGTAACCAGGTGTAGTTTCAGATTTAGAACTTCTTAAAGTGCTAAATAAAACAGAGCCGTTGTTTTGAAAGGTGTGCCCTGTGTTTCCAGAACTGTCCGGACAGGAGAGGAGAGAAAGGCTGATGCTATTTAGACCGACGGAAAGTAAAATCACATGTGTCAACATGCTGGGATAGCTAATAGCTTCTTTGAAAAGAAACAGGAATTATTTCAGGCACTGTATACACTAGCTTACCATAATAATGTAAAATAGCATTGGTATTGCATGGGATTAATTACTGATTTTGTCTCTCAAAAAAATCACTGTTGTTTTGCCCTTAGAAAACCAAATTTGTTCTATTCCATGTTTGTCCTGTACCATTCAGCAAACAGATGTGCAAGTTTCTGTGCTACTCTTTAATGCTACTAAATACTAGCTTAGTAAAATGCAGAGGAGTATAAACAAGACACTACGTTCTAAAGAACTATCTTGTTTAACTATTCTTTGTTGTTTTCTGCTTTTCTCCCTAACCAAGTTTACCCCTCTGGAAAGGTTTAAATGAAGGCCAACCTTCACAGAGCTTTCATCCTTTCATATTTTTTTTTTCTCCCAGTTCAAAGCAATATCTTTTCTCTTTTTAAATGGGAAGAAAAACAGATTTTGACAGTTCAATAATACTTTATTGCTTTCACTCTAGATAAATAAAAACAGATGGTTGCCTTGAGGAGCAGTTAAGCAGTGTATGTGCTATATGAAAAGTACATATTTTACAATTCAGTACCCTCTACAATAGTGAATGTTTTTTATAGAACACAGTCACGTTCTTCATTTACCAGTATTTGTTTACTATTCGGAGCTTTCTTCATATAAAAGTAATCTTATTTTGGTCAAAGCAGAGGTAAATGCATTCATTAAAACACAAAATTCTCCAGGGACAAGACTTACGGGTAGGAAAGACTGTTTCCAGTCAGTACAGCCTGAATCGATAGAATTTTAAAATAGCAAAAAATGCTCTGTCTGTGCCCTGTATTTAGAAGACAGAACTGGTGAAAGGATTTGTCAATCCGCTTTGAAACACCCACTATTTGCTTGAAACTGGATTAGAACAGCACGGTCAGAAAATCATTTGCTCTCCTGCTGTGAAAGTAGCTGAAGACAAGTCTCCAGTTCACAGAAATCATCGTTATAATGAGATTTTTTTAAAAATGTTGATTTTTTAATTGACCTTGGGTTGACTGCAGCTCTCTTCTAGGCGCAGCCTTCATTCAGCCGGCATCGCAGGGCCTGAATTCTCAATCCTGCCAGTCTGGCAGGGCTGCTGAAACTCAGGGAAGCCTCGTGCAAGCTTTAAAACTCTTCCCCAGCACAGGTCCCGCCTCACCGAGCCTTGGCCGAGGTGTTTTATCAGCTAAAGCATCCTCCAGTTTCACTGGTGTTGCAGCTTCAAAACCCAGGAGTAAAAACCTTCTTAGCTTGAGGTATTTCTTTTTCAGTGGAAGCTTTAGGTACTTGTGCCTCACCAAACCCTGTGCAGCCATCTTTTTATGCAGATAGGTATGCAAATGACTCCACAGATAGGTATGCAAATGACTCCAAATGACAGATTATCCTTCTCGCTGAAACACTGAACGGCCAGTTGTTGCAACCCGCAATTGTATGTTTCAAACATAACGTCCTTCCTCCTCAAGACTGAGGTCCCCGCAGTTCCTCCAGAACTTCAGCAGTATCCTGCAAGAGAGACACGGTTTCAAGTAAAATTACCCCAAAACTAAAGGGCACGAATAAAAAGAGACTTTGATGCTGGTGTTATCTTTCATAAACAGCAGCAACAAATCACGGCAGAAAAGAAAACGTTGTTTTCTCATCATTCACATAAAATAATTTTGCTACAAACCTTGGAGGATCGTTAGGTACCAGGAAAAGCTGGATCTTCCACCTCCCAGTTGCACTATATAAGGCAAATATTTTCTCATTTGTTTTAGGGGAATATTGGATTGATCCTAACCAAGGCTGCTCTGGAGACTCCTTCAGGGTATACTGCAATTTCACAGCAGGTGGGGAAACGTGCATCTACCCAGATAAGAAATCAGAAGGAGTAAGTACCGACCTGTGTTTTAAGTTGGCTGTTGACGGATCCTACTATGTTGTCGCAGTGTTGAACTAAACAGGATAATGACATTGTCACATTTTCATATACCTGTCTTTCTGATTGCATTGAAATTTACGTAAATCTGGATGAAGTGGTAAAATGGTAAACGGAGTTAAATGGCTTTTTTGCGCTTTTGCTTAGACAGGGGATCTCTGTACCTGCTTGCTGAGCCTTCACAGAATCACAGTTTCAGGATGCACCATAGCCAGGCAGCCAGTTAAAGTGCACAATCTAGCGTTTGGCACCTGAAAGATAAACTCTTAGTATGTTTCTTTTGTGCATTCATTTATTATCTATTCATTTATACCGATGCAAAGTAGATGTAAAACACGATTTGCTAACAGGGCCCTCACTCACTGTTATAAATTCCCTCTGATGGTGTAGAGGAAGGCTTTCTAAAAGCTTCCCTAAATGAGAGAGATCTATCACCACCAGTGAAAACTCTAATTTAGACACTCTTCACAGGAACAACTTATACCAGCAGTTTACCTGAATCTTAACAGAGGACAACAGTCCCCCTCAAATAGTACTGACCCTCTTGCTAAGCTATCACCTTGGATTCCATTTGGAGTCACTAATTTGAAGGCGTTCTATGCAAGAAAAATATCCTATTTCAGAGCTTTAAAGAGGCCAAGATCTCAGAAAGAAGAACTATTCTTTACTATCCAAAGAAGAACCATTCTTTACTATCCAATGTCCCAGTTGATGTAACACCTTCCTATGTGTTAACGTGTATGCTCTTGTACCACACAGGTTAGAATCTCCTCGTGGCCAAAGGAGAATCCAGGATCTTGGTTTAGTGAATTTAAGCGAGGCAAACTTGTAAGTTGTCACTGCACCATACCAATTTTTCACAAATCAAGTACACATTATCAGTGAGCAACAGATGCCAGGGAATTTTATAGCTATTCAGATAACGAGAAGAATTCTCAGCCCCAGCCTTTTTGCCCTAAATATCAGAGCAGCTATAGAGCCTCTTGCCACTGACCAGCAGAAGCCTGCTCTGTATTGTCTTCCAAGGATCCCAGCCGTCATCTGCCCAGCTGATGAAGGGGATCTGGCTTCTAGCAGACCCCACTTCACCACTGATACCTTAGTCGAGCAGATGGAGCACAGGTCCCCTGCCCCCTTCTAGGTAACTGGAATTATGCTGCGTGTGCAAAGGTGCGACTGCAGGCTGACCTAACTTTCCAATTAACTGAAAGCAGATTCCCACAGAGATTCTGCTGCTTCACAGGAGGAGTAATTGTCTGTCACATCCAGTAGTATGAAGCTAAAATATGTAGTTCTACATGCTAATAAATCCATTGCTACAACATGAAAATTTATTCAGTGAGTCGCAGCATTACTGAACGTACACAGTTCCGTAAAATGTTATATCTTGGTTGATTTTTGTATTAAGAGCAATTATGTGGTTCTTTTGTCAGCAGCAATTTTGTTCTGCATTTTAATGAGGGAAAAAGGGAAATATTCATGTGCTTACATTTTTCCAGCTTTCCTATTTGGATGTCGAAGGCAATTCCATTAATATGGTCCAAATGACATTCCTTAAACTACTGAGTGCCTCTGCCAGACAGAATTTCACTTACAACTGTCACCAGTCTGTAGCCTGGCACGATGCGTCATCCGACAGCTATGACAAAGCGCTGAGGTTCTTAGGATCAAATGATGAAGAAATGTCTTATGACAACAATCCTTACATCAAAGCTCTCCACGACGGTTGTGCAGTAAGTAGAGGTTCAGAAGAGTCTTTACCAAACCAACCTGTCTAAATTAAAGTAGAAATCAAACAAATTCATTCTTTCACACTTTTCTTCTGAGAAAATCTTACTAAATTTTTCTTTATTCTTAATAGGCTGCCTTTTAGTAGATTTTTTAACTACAGTACACTAGTCCCTTATGTAATTTTCACATGGGTACCAAAAAACCTTAACAGTGAGCCAAGCAACAGAAATGGAACAAACATGGCATGGATGCAGGCTGTCGGCACCGATGTGCCGAAACTAGACTATCTGCTAGTATGAGCACAGTGTAAGAGAAGAACAGAAGGAAAAAAGCATAATCAGGGCAGGCAACTCATCAGCAGAATGTATTTAGATTCAAAATCAAGGCATATGCAGCAGAATATTTAGTGAATGCAGTAAAAACGTGTTTGAACTAAGCCATATGTACGTACCCAAACACAGTGAATTAACTTCGTAGTTTGATGTGTGACCTCGTATTTCATTTTCTCATTTTTCTATAGTCAAAGCCAGGTGAAGTTTGTGGATTGTACCTGTCAGAATCCTCTCTTAGCTCCGCTGAAATCCCCAGAACCGTCCCAACACGAATCAGCTCTCTGACCCTCTCTCCAGCAGGGTCTTGGCAGGCATAGCAACCGTTGCCACTTTTCAGAAACAAAGATGTCAAAGGGCTAAGTGGCAGTTGAAACCTCATTAGTAATAATGGGGTTTGATATGGGAGCATTTTGAAGGCAGTTCCTGAGAAGCTGGTGATCAGTCCCCATGTGTTGCCTGATCTAGTCGAGAGGTGGCGTCCCTGCCCATGACAGGGAGGTTGGATTAAATGATCTCTAAGGTCCCTTCCAGCCTGGGCCATTCTATGATGATGTTGATGAGAGACCTGAAAGCGCCAGTACACAGAGCTGGCTTGGAGTCAGAGATGCAGCTCAGATAGATGCACAGTCTCCTCTCCTGAGTAATGAGATTCTGATAAATAACTGCTTCTTACCAGCCTCGCTGGGTGTCCTGTATATTTATTTTGCTTTTGTTACCTCCAGTGGGTGGGCGTAGAGCTCCGGAGAGAGCTAGCAGTGACGTAAGGTGTAACTGTCCCTCAGCTGAAACACTCAGGTCTCCCAGTTTGGATTCTCATCTCAATTCCAAGACGCTGGCATAGGTGAAAGGGGTCTCAGCAAGATCAAAGAGACCGTCCAAGTGAGGTGCAGTTCTGATAACAAACGAGGCGACGCAGCTGATTCTTAGGGGAGGGGGCGAGCCTTCGTTAGGAAGGAAGGGTGTGCCTTCAGACCCAGCTTCTGAGTGCACCGCTTGGCAGTCCTGTCAGACTACTGCTTTCCTTCATGTCCAAAGAGCTGCTGTGATATTTTGTGAGATGGTTGCAGTCTTTCTTCTTAGCAGCAAATCTTTCTTCTGCTTTTCAGAGGTAGTGATTTTTTCACAAGGAAGGCACGTGCACTTCCCTGAGATTATGGTTATTAAATAGTACAATGTGAACTCAGAATTCTCTAAGAAACATTAAATTTCTTCGGTAAATTTTCATTTGTAGCCCAAAAGCTATGGGCTGATCTCTTTCTAAAATCAAAAACATTCCTTTTCATGTTTTTAAAATAAAATCCTAATAAAATGTAGACTATAGAGTTTGTAATATGCAGTGAATGAGGTGGCAATAATTAATAAATTCTACACTTCAGAAGTAATGGGTGGAGATCTACAGCACGTGCTTGCTGCTCTGATGGATATATCTAACCATGTTTACATTTCTTTTTGCTTCTTCTTTAACAGTCGAGGAAGGGCTACGCAAAGACGGTGATCGAAATCAACACACCCAAAATAGAACAGGTGCCTGTAGTTGATGTGATGATCAATGACTTTGGCGATCAGAACCAGAAGTTTGGATTTGAGGTCGGTCCTGTCTGCTTCCTTGGTTAAGCTTAAGACAAAAATCAGACCAATAAAAAAAAAGAAATGTTGCACTTTGGTGCTACCAACCCACTTCATGCCACATGCAAGTTTTGAATAAGGATGGCATAGAAAAGATGTCTTGCTGTGTACGTATGTCTTATGTCGAAAGTAGTTGTTGCCCTTGTAGGGCCAGAATCACATGACTTAAACTTACTTTGCAATGATGCGGTGGCACAGACAGACAATACAGAGCTCGCTTTAGGAACGCCCCCTTTGGATTCCTTTGGTGCTGTAACAAAACGAACGACATGGTGCTCCCTCCCTTACCACAAAGAGATGTTAAGAAAGTGGTTAATAAACTGTAATTATTCCATGTACAGTGCTGTGCTGTTATTTCTCTGTCCACTTCCAAAACTTGCATGTGTCTCCGAATTGCATCTGGCTCTTATTTCGTAATTACAAGACTACCTTGTCAAAACTGTGTATGTATTCTGAAAAAAATAAAGCTGTAATTGCCAGCGAAGCCAATTCCAGTACCTATTAATAATAAAATCCCTTTGTATATATTGTTGTTGAAGAGCTTTGTTGTTTGGAGTCGCCAACAAAACTTACGATGGCAAAACTGGAAGATCTTGAGCAGCACACTCAGACAACTCTTTTCTGCTGGTATCACTCTGTGATGATGAATTTCAATATCGAAAGCGCCTTCAAAGGTGCTGTGTTCCATGGTGCTATACCTCAAACTGTATTTTCTTTTCTAGCTCCATACTTTGAGAAGATTCCTGTATATACCTAAAATAAACGAGTTTATATTTTTTGGTCGGGGAAAACCCATAAGGAAAAAACAACTTCTGTGTAAGAGATGCTAAAAACATCTGTGTGAAAAAAGTTAGTCATGTAATTTTCCTTCTTTTTTTTTTTCTCACCTGAATTTGTTTCCGTTGTGCTTATTTGGTCTGCATAAATATTACAACTTGGTTCTAAACAGTTATTTATGGATTTTTGCCGTGTTTACTTAGATTTTTATGTAAGCAATGATGAATGTTTGCTTACTGAACTGGATACTAAACATTCCGCAGAATGGTCCTCATACACTACTTGCCCATCCCATTAATCTGAATTATTTTTTCCTCTTCTCTCACCTGAGGGCCAGGGATGCAATATGTCTAGGTCATGTGATTCTACATAGTTGCTAAGCAACATACGAGGGGACCGCTTCCTACAGAGCTGTCTTTGACCCAAACTGTTACAACTTGCTATTCAAATCATGAAAAGAGGAGAATAATAATCATCTTCGTTTGGCCTTCCCTCTGAACATTTTATTCAGGTAGTTGGAAGTAGAAATTACATTTTAGCTTTACAACACAAATCCTTTTGTAATTATTTTTCATAATATATGTAAGACTTGAAAAGAAATGTTTGTTTCTATTTCTCATAAATTGTTAAATTAAATAGTACTAGTTTCTGCTGGCTCATTTCCGACTGGTATTTTCTTATGCACGTTTATACATGTAAAAGTGAGACTTCAGACGTCAACTTCTTGCTGTTCATATGTTCTTTTGTTTTTGAACCAAAGTTTGTAACTGTCGCCTCAAAGAGGAAAATACAAAATTTTTATTAATAAAATCAAGTCTTGTCTACCTGGATTGGTCATTCTCTTTTTTTGCCATGTCTGGAATTAGTCAAAGCATCTTGCCAAGATTCTCATTGACAACATCCCAAAGGAGGAAATGAACTTGAGTCTTCTACACCTCTGAAGGGTTTTTAAGCCCTCAAGAGTTCTTTAGCCCTTCTTAAGCCCTTAGCTCAGTACGACAGCTAATTCCTTTGTCCATACTCTGTTTCAACATGCTGCTCTTGTTCACTCTGAGTTTCTGATTAAAGGGAAAAAATTGCCACGATATATTCTTGCCTTCAAGCCAAAATTATGCTGTTTATCTTTCCCTCGATAGACGTCTCATATATTGCGACTCTTAAAAAAACCACAACAAACCAAAGAAAAAGAGCATTCTTCAGAACAGAAAGAAATTTCACATCAAAACTGACACATTAGTCTCTCTGCGAAATAAACTTTGCATTTTGCAGCCATGAAAACATAAAATCTCAGATTCACCATATGCTGTTATAAAAAATAAAAAATTACCCACTCCAAACTAAGCAAGCTAAATTCCTGACTCGAACGACAAACATGACAAACCCAAAACCTGAGTAATGACAAAAAGACTGAAATTGCTACACAACAACTGGATTTTACCTGTAGAACCTGACAAAACTTGGATCTTCTGAGATGATAGTGAGGTTTTGCCTGACCCCAGAGCAGACTGGGCGGTTTTTCTTGAAAATCTTCGAGCCTCTCTTAGAGAAGAACCATGCTGGAGGCGGTGTAAGGTTTCTCCACTGTAAATACATGTATTGCTGTCACATTGCATGCAAATGGACTAAGGAAGCACAAGGCAAACAGAAGCCAACAAATATTACACATGGAGGAAACAAGCTACAACTATAGAAGTATAAACTATTCTCTGTGGAGCTGCAGAGTTGGTTCTCCCCTGGAAAACTTCACAAAATGTAATGAAGATTTTTTTTTTTTCAGTCGTGGCTAACATCAACAGTCACCTTGCAACACAAAAAGCTACCATCTGTTTCCAAAAGTAAGCACAGTTATTTGCTACAGATCCTTCCCTTTGGGAGCGGCTTTGTTAATTTTAAAATGAAACTCCACCTGCTGATAGGCTGGTAGGAGATGCCTTACAGCAGCTGATTTCCTATTAGGAGCACACTGATTTTTGTCTGTGAGTGAGTGGCTTCTATTGCACACATGCCAAAACCAACAGGAAGGTGACGAAGACAGGATATGAAATGTCATATCTGTTATATTTACCTGGAAAGGTGTCTGATTTGCATTCCTCTTCTAAGCACAAAACTTATCGAAGAAGCCCCTTGTTAACTGAGTAACAAGCGATGCCAAGGTTATTGCAGAGGAGCCGACTGCTCTGAAGTTACTCGTTGTCAATAAGGTCACCAAAGATTGTTAGAGTGAGGAAGACCGTAAGCGTACAGATGTTCAGACGTGCCGCTCTGGCCAAAATTGGGGCTTGTTCTTCACCCTGCTCTGTGAATGGAGGCTGCCTCCTAATGAGGGAGGCTGGAACCAAAGCCTACAATGGCTAACGTGGACATGTTTGGTCCAGGTTCTCTCAGGAATTCTGCCAGACCTTGACTTTATTTCCAGTGTCTCAAGGGCGGAGAAGTGATCTCAGGCAAAACACATCTTGCTTTAGTAAGACAGGCAGGAATTGTTAAGAATTCAGCAGCAGGACTGGGATCTAAGTGCCTTTTCTGCTCCCTGGTATGATCTAAGACATTTTTATTTCGTTTTTTTTAAAGTCAAAAAGACATTGTAGCTAAATCTTGCTGATGCATAGAACTTCAGCTTGTGAGAGGATTAAAACGCGGATGAAAGTTAAAATTCAGTCCATCCAATATGCTGCCATTACGTTATACACTACTAAAAGAAGACTTATATAAACAGGAGGTGATCAATGGCCCTGTCACTGGGTTATGATAAAATCGACAAGTGATAAGTCAATGCATCAGTTTCCTCTTCACTTTCTTGGTTGTGCCAGTCGTTCCTGTTCAAGTCCAGAGTTTATTCTCCAGGAAAAACCTCGAGTCTTTTACCTGATTTTCTTTCATCACCATTTGGCCATTTGCATTTTGGTGGTTGATGCTGACTACTTGATTGCCTGTCAATGTCTAACACACATTTCATGAGCTATTACAGTCTAATAGTAGCAGTGGTTTTCAATTTCCTGATCATCAGCTGTTCGACACCGAAGTGACTAATGTTACTGCTTTTTCTCATATTCAGCTGGTATTTTCAGAGCAACATAAGGCTCAGCAAGGATAATCACTCAACCTCCTTCATGGTTTTAAACCAAAAAACATCTGCCACAAACAACATCAGTAAGCCCTCAACAAGATTACAATGAAACAGGAAATTAATTACTTTCTTAACAATACAGTAAGCCAAATAGCTGAAAATATTACATTTATCATTATTTCTTCTTCTCTGCACAGTGAAAAAACTGGATGCAAGTACCTGACAGAGTTCCTTAACAGCTTGTAAAGCCATCTTCTGATTTTGTGCTCTGGCCTTCACTTCATGCCTGACTTAAAACAGTGGTCAGTAAAATTATTTGCAGAAGAAAACCAAATTAATTCCTCTCTAGTCCCAGTTTTTCTGAGTTTAGAAAAAACAGATCTTCTGCTGTGGTTTTGCTACAGTAAGGATGTAATGGGTAGTTAAAAGAACTCTTCCAAGTCCACAGTCCTAGGAGAACAAGGCTGCCCAGAGCCCAAAGGTCATTCTAACCACCAGGAATGAACACAGAGACCTCCTGCTCAGCTCCCACCTCACCCTGAAATACGTTTTGTAGTCAGGTTTGCTTGCTTGTTCCCTGCCCAGGAGGAACTAGCGTTTCTGAGGTGGAGATAATCATTCGTTGTTTGCTAGTTTACTTGGAATTTTACACAGAAAGCCCAGTGAAACCAGCTCGGGTATTATCACCAACCTGAATGAATTCTAGAGCAGGCACTGCCCATTGCAGCAGGTGAGGTGTGCTAAGTGAATGAGAAGTGGATGGATTGAGAATGAAGTTATTTTTATTGACATAACAGCTTCTCTCTGTCAGGCATTAACCAAAAAGTAGGTAAGGTTTTACATTCTATTCACACAGTCTCTTTAGCCGATGCCTTTTTTTTTTTTTCTTAGAATATCATCTCAATGGCAGGTCAGGTGAGAGGGTAGATCTGCTTTGTGGTCCTGTTGCCCAAACTGGCCCATAAGGTAACGCAGCATGACGTGAAGGCTCAGGCTCTGGAGAATGCATAATCTTCATAACATTCTCTATTCAGTAACATTCTGATTTGTATGTATAGGATTCACTTATCCCTTCGTGATTCCTCAGAAGGATTTTAGAAATAGTCACTTTGCTCTGCGCCTGCAGACTTGCTCAGTGGCACGGATATTAACATCAAAGCTGTTTACTGTCAGAAAGGGCCGACAGTGAAATTTTAATACGTAAAAAATTTCCACAGCACTCCTGTTTCTGAACAGAACAAAGTATGTTTCACCTGTCCACCGCTTCCCTTTTCTTAAATGCTGAAAATATTTGGTAGGAGAAAGTCCACCAGTTCCACGGTGAGATTCTTTTTCCACATACTGGGGAACAGGAACAATACTGATAGCGGAATAGAATGAACAAGATGATCTTCAAGGTCCCTTCCAACCTTACCCATTCTATATGATAATAAAGGTACCTGTAAAAAAGCCCAGCACAATAAAACCAAGCAGAAATATTTTTCAGTGTGCAACAGAAAGGAGAAAAATATAGGGGGGGAAAAAGGAAGTAGTGGGGAAATATGTGGGGAAAGGATAACAGGAGCCAAACTTGGATCCCTCCTCTCCTCAGCCTCGGGCAGGAAGGAGGG